AATATATACAAATGTGAATAAATTCATAAAGTACAAAGCAGAGCCCTGATGAAGAACCTTTGTGCAAAGACCAATGAAGGGACTAAAAGAAATGATAGTGTCATAACCAGGACCGAAAAAAGAAATTTATGAGAATTTAGGAAACAGATTTGAGATCAAGCAGAGAGTTCTGATACTGTAGTAATGGGAGACTTTTACTTTCTAGTTATCTCTTCCTCTCCCTCCTTCTATGTCTCTTTCCCTCTTCCTCCTCTCCCCCCCTTCTCTCTGTCTGTCTGTGTGTATGTGTGTGTCTCCCCTCTTCTACCAAAAATAAAGCTGGTGATCAGTTCTCGATTTGTCTTAATGATAATTATACTCTTCAAAAAGAAAACTGGAAGAAGCAACCAAGGAAACTGCTGTTCTAGACCTAAATCTGACCAATAAGCAGGAATACTTGGAACTTAAGGAGGATATGATTATTCTTCCCGACAATGAGTGACAGAGGAGAGGAAAGCCAGGCATAGACTGACAAACACCCTAGACTATGATAGAACAAATTTCAAAGAGTGGAAAGGAAGGATAAGTGGGATCCATGACCTAAAACCCTAAAGAGGAAGTCTACTCTAAGGAAATGGGAAGCTCTCAAGAATAAAATTTAATAACACTAATGATTACGATGAGTAAGAAAAGGGGGAGCTATCTAAAGAGAGCCAGATGAACACAAAAGAAATTAATTGACCAATTTAGAGCTTTAAAAGGCCAGACACAAAGAGTACTTACTAAAAGATTAGCATCCACTTAAAGAATCCTCTGGTGGAGGAATGCTAAGGATCTGTTCTTGGCCCTACGTGCAACATTTTTATCAATGATTTAGATAAAGGAATGTTTTCTATTCAGTCATTTTCAGTTATTTCTGATTCTTCATGACCCCTTCTTGGCACAGATACTGGAGTGGTTTGCCATTTCCTTCTCCTAGCTCATTTTACAGATGAGGAAACTGAGGCAAACAGGGTTAAAAAACTTGCCCAAGGTCACATAGCTAGTAAGTGTCTGAGGCCAGATTTAAATTCAGGTCCTCTGGACTCCAGAGCTGTCACTCTATCCACTGCACTACTTATTTATCAAATCTGAAGATGATACAAAGCTGAGAGGTATAACTAACATATTAGGTAACTCAGTCACAATCTAAACAGATTTCAACAGGTTAAAACAATGGGTCAAATCTAATAAGATTAAATTAAATAAAGATAAATGTAAAATACTTCACTTGGTTTCTAAAAATTTGCTTCATAAATACAAGATCATCTGGTTACATAACAGTTCATTTGGAGAAGATCTAAGGGTCTGAGTAGTCTGCAAGTTCAGTGAAACAACAACGTTAATTGGAAGCCAAGAAAAAAAACCACTCTAATATAATCTTAGTCTTCATTAAGAGACATAATACACAGAATAAGCCATATCTATAGCACAGATGTACCTAAGTATCCTGGCCCCTGGGGCAAATTCAGTTGGCCAGGGTTAGAGAGCAATGGAGGTAATTCAATTAGGGGCAACACATTTTAGGAAAGATACTGACAAACTTGGACAAGTCCAGAAAAGCACCACTAGGGTGCTGAGGGGCATTACAGACCACGCCAAACATCTGTCAGTTGAAGGAACAAGGGGTATTTAACCTAGAGAAGATTTAGACATGACATGTCTTTATATATTTAAAAATCTGTCATGCCCAGTGCACATAGTTGGCACTTAATAAATGTTTATTGATGGATTGATGTGGAAGAGAAATTACATTTGTCTGGCCCTCAAAAAGCAGAAGTAGCAGCAATGGCAGTCACAGAGAGAGACATCATCTCCATGTAAGAAAAACTTCCCTATAAGCTGTCCACAAACGGATCAAGATGTATTATGAGACAGTAAGATAAACCCATCAACCCATAAGCATTTATTAAGAACCTGCTGTGTTCAAGGCACTATGCCAGGCACTAGAGATAGAAAGGCAAAGAAAGAAACAATTCCTGCTGTCAAGGAGTTTTTATTCTAATAGGGGAGACAAGTATATGTGTATATATAGATATATAGATATAGATATAGACATAGACACAGACACAGACACAGACACAGACACAGACACAGACACAGACACAGACATACATATACATATACATATACATATACATATACATATACATATACATATACATATACATATACATATACATATACATATACATATACAGAATAAGTATAAGAAGAATGAATACAGTTAAAAACAAAATTAAATACAAGGTAGTTTTCAGGGCAGCGAGGTGGCGCAGCGGATTGAGCACCAGGCCTGGAATCAGGAAGACCTGGGTTCAAATATGGACTCAGACACTAGCTGTGACACCCTGGGCAAGTCACTTAACCCTATTTGCCTCAGTTTCATCATCTGTAAAATGAGATGGAGAAGAAAATGGTAAACTACTCCAGTATCTTTGCCAAGAAAGCTGCAAATGGGGTCAGACATGACTGAACAACAATAACAAAAGTTTATGAGGGAGGACATTAGAAGAGCTCAGTAAGGTTTTATGTAAAAGGTGGTGTTTCAGTTGCTTCCTTTTTTTTCCATTGTACAGTAAATACTTTTAATGACATAACATTTTCATTTTTACAGACGAAATCGTTAAAAGGCTTTTCGCTTTCAGAAATGTCCATGAAAGGATTTGCATGTCTGTCAAATGTGAGATTAGAATTAAATTGGTATGCTTTGCAATTAAAATCACAGATCAGCAAAATCATATTATAGGTACTGAAGCTTGAGCTGCTTCTTGAAGGGAGAGAAGGGATTTTGTGAAGCAGAGGTGAGGAGGGAGGGCACTCCAGGCATGGGGAACAGCCAGTGCAAAGGTAGAGGTGGGAAATGAGTGCCACGGGTGAGGAACAAAGAAGGCCAGTTAGGCTGGATCATACAGTATGGCAGGGGTAGTAATATACAATAAAGTTGGTAAAGATAAGTTGGGACAACGTCATGGAGAGCTTTAAAAAACCTTAGTTGGTAAAGATAAGTTGCGACAACGTCATGGAGAGCTTTAAAAAACCTAACAGAGAAATTTATATTTTATCCTAGAGGCAAAAGTGAGCCAACTGAATTTACTGAATGGGGAGTCACGTGATCAGATCTACCCTAAAGCAACATCACTTTGATGGCCACATGAAGAATGGACTGGGGTGGAGAGAGTTTTGGGACAGGGAGACCACGTGAGGCCATTGCAATAACATAGGTAAAACGTGTTCTACAGGTGATTTCTGTTCAGGTAAAACCTGGACTGCACGACCTCTGAGGTTCCATTCAATTTTGAAATTCTGTGGTACAATGATGCACCTCCTCATCTGCCTTCATGATTCCCCTACCCTGCTATCTACATACCCACTGCATCAGAATAATTTTTACCTTGCCTCAGACATTCTTATCCTTCCTCTTAAAAGGACAGAAAAGCCCAAATTAGGAATAATTCATTTTCTGCCTTGCTACTAGACTCTAGCAACAATTCTCATCATGCTGAATATGGCAAGGTCCTCATCCATCCCTTTCTTGGAAGCATTTGATTTGATTACTCATCTGCTTTCAGGGGCCTCAGGGAGCTGCCAAGAAGAAGCCGGCAGCTCTCCAAGCCATGCAGTCTTATCAGCTATGTTTACATGTCAGAATGAAGCCTGGTTCCTTTGGTAGAGTTATACCAAAGTACTTCATTCCTTCCTGCTGTAGGAAGAAGGGAGATCACCTGGTCAGAGATTGCTCTCCCACTGTCCTTGGGACACATCAAAGCTGTGTATTTCTGCTCACCAGCACTACAGCCTGAATCAAGATATTCTAAGGCCAGATGGGAAATCAATACATAAACATTTCCAAGCCAGGCCACTACCCAAAATCAATGGCGTTAGGTAGACAGATGACGGCAGAGCAGATGTGACCTCCAGACTGCTGACAGCCACTACCGGCAGAACCTGATCCCTTTGTTTGGGGAGAGAGAGCTGTTACAGAGCACAGAGAAGCCAGGGTCCCCGGATCCAAATCCCAGCACATGTCCTGCTGGCTTCTGCTCAGCTTTACTGGTTTCCACAATCTCCTTTGCTTCCTGCTGTATGGTGGATTGGAGGCTGGCTATAGACAGTGAAACAGCTGCTGTGGCCTTGTAATCTCTTCTCTACAACAACCTTTTCCAAGAGGGCTATCGTGAACTTCCAGGGATCCCAAAACTAAAAAACTAATAAAAAGCCAGCAATGACTCCCTAAGCAGTACAATAAGCATGTGCCACAAGATTTAGCATCTTGGGGACCATCTAGTTCACTGGCATCAAACTCAAATAGTAACAGCTTGGCCACGAATTGATTTAGAATATCACAGATGAACATTATCTATGTTGCACTGTATGTTTATGTATTTTGTTAAGCATTTCCCAATTACATTTTAATCTGGTTCCTGCGGCACTCAGAAGTTTTGTGGTGGTTCAGAGGGCAGCAGCTGACACCTCTGATCTTGTTCACAGGTTCATCACTCAATCGTCAAACCTAGAATTGGAAGACACTCTCTAGCCCAACCCCCAGTAACTGAGGTCTACGCTGGCTAAGTGACTTGCCAAGGTCACACAGATAATAAGTGGCAAAGCTGGGATTTGAACCCAGTTCCTCTGACTCCAAATCTAGCATGCTTTCCTATGAGCCACAGAGACTCCCTGAATACTCTTATTTTACAGATGAGGAACTCGCTGTGAAGGTCACAAGCATATACAAGCATGAGAGGCAGAATTGGAACTCGCATCCTCTGATTCCAAAGTTAATGCCCCTTCCACTGCACTAGAATCGAGGTACTAGGAACTCAGTCTTACCACTCCAACCTGCTTCCTCAGAGGAGCTGTGAACTCTTATTGTGAGCTAGCTATTTCCATTCTAAAACACCAACACCTGCTTCCTCTATTTGACACGCAGGGTTACAAAAGTTAGTTGGTTCATTTCCTAAACATTGTAGCGATCCACTTACTCATTCTTCTCCAGGTCCAAGATGAGGTCTTTCCCTTCTGCGGTTATCCTGAGTTCAGCTTTGAGGGGATGCTGAAAACAATAAAGAAAGAATGTCAGCTCCCTGAGAGAAGGGCCTGGGTCCCACAGATGTTCAAGGCAGGGCTGAGCGCAGAGGTTCGACACCAAGTGACAGTGAGCAAGAAAGGGACAGTTGCTCCACAGCTGACCAGACTTCCTTAATAAAAAGCAGCCGAGACCAGCAACCACCAGCGCCTTCTGTCCACCTTTTCCTGAAGGACGAAGGAAACATAAAACAAGAAATTCAGTCCAACAAAAGCCGCACCATTGAAGTGCATGGGGACCAGGGGCGTCAAGAGAAAATGTTAGGAAAGAGACAAGTTTTATTGTACTGAATGGCAAAGACAAGCGTGTCTCACTAGGACAAAGAAGACCAAATCCCTCATTTGGCTGCAATACATTTTTGCACTCAGCTTGAATATTACTGTTCCTATAATTATTAGGAAGAATTCATTAATAATTAGGACAGAAGCTTCAGTGCTTATGAGAAATAGGATCACATCTCATCTAAGCTTTGTATCTCTACCAGTGTCTAACATATGTCACACGCAGTAGGTATTTAATGACTATTGGCTTTAAAATTCTAGGATTCCACAATTCTATGATTCTAAGTACTATGGCTAATTTTTGTTGTTGTTAAGACATTTTTAGTTGTATCTGATTCTTTGTGACCCCTTTTGGGGTCTTCTTGGTAAAGATGCTGCAGTAGTTTGCCATTTCCTTCTCTAGCTCATTTTACAGATGAGGAAACTGAGGCAAACAGGGTTGAATGACTTGCCAGGGTCACACTGTTAGTATTGTGCTATGCCTTTCTCATGGGATTATTATAAGGCTTACATGATATAACGGAGGCCCTTTGTAACCATAACATTTTCAATCAATAACAATTACTATTAATGGTAGTTACAAATAAAATATTATTAGCTGACATTGATTTGATATTTTATGTGATCAGTGTTAGCTATTAATAACATTCACAACTGATTTGGCACCTTATGGCAACAGTTTTCATAAATAATTATAAATATTATTATTATTAATAATAGCTCACATTAATTTTATACTTTCTGGTTGTAAAGAGCCTCACCTACATTGTATCAGGTGAGCTTTAATAACCCAGTGACAAGGTATAGTACAACAAATACTTATTAAACACCTACTGTACGCAGGGCACTGTGCCAGAGACACCACTCTCCTAAACATTCACAGGCACTGGTTACTGACCAGAGACACCTAGAGTGGAGGAATACGACACATGTTACATATACTCTACAATATGATTGATATAAGTGCATTTGGGAGTTGCAACAGAGTCCTCTGTAAGGCCTAAGGAGGACAGTGATTAACAAACTGGGGCGGGGGGGGGGAGATCAGAAAAGGCTTCTTGGAGAAGGTGACATTCAAGCTGGGTTTTAAAAGCTAGGCAGGAATGTAACAGGCAAGGAAGAAGAGGAAAAGCATCCCAGGCACAGGGAGCAGTGTGAGCAAAGAACACAGACATGAGAGCACAGAGCTTTTTGGCAGGGTCAAAGAGCTGTGAGCTCAGAGACTGGAGCTCAGAGGCTATAAGAGGAGAAATATCAGATAGGAGGGCAGACAGGCTGATGGCACTGTGTTATGGGGGGAAGGGCTGTGAATGCCAATTAAAGGAGCTCTACCCTATTAGGTAAGGGGATAGGGAGTTACTGACTATCTTTAAATAGATGAGGGGCATAAGTATTGTCTAAGCATCAGAAGGAATACTCTGGCAAGGATCTATCAGGTATAGGTTGCAAGGCAGAAAGAGCAGACCTAGGGAGAACTAAGAGGTTGATCACCATAGTTTGGAGCTAACAATCTGTTTGGAAGGTTCAAGTACTCAGCACTGAGTCAAAGCTTATCATCTTCCACTGTGCCAAGTTCAGAAGACGCCTCAAACTATGGCTACAAGGAACAAATAAAGAGTGAGAAGCCTTCTGCCACACATTATTCTAAATATATTTTATATCCATATCTCCATGTATGTTATTCAGTTAATCAAACAAATGTAAGACATATATTTTGTAGAAAGAAAATTAAGCCATATTTTATACAAGTAGCAATAAGTGGAATAATGAGTGATTGTGCCTGCAACAGTTTGCCATTTCCTTCTCTAGCTCATTTTACATATGAGGAAACTAAGGCAAACAGTGTTGAGTGACTTGCCCAGGGTCCCTCTGATAGTATAGTACTATGCCTTCCTCATGAGGTTATTGTAAGGCTTACATGATATAATGCAGGGTCTTTGTAACCATAAAATGGTCACATAGGTGTTTTGGTGCCACGATCTCAGCCCAGTACGGCAAATTCGACCTCTTGGGTCACTTGTCTACCCCCTCTGCAGCTATCCTAGTTCAGGCGATCATCTCTTTCCATCTAAATAACAATAGCATCTTTAGTGGCCTCACTCCTTGAGTGCATCCCCTCTCCAATCCCCCTGAGCAATCATATTAATGATCACTATGATGAGGTCATTCTATTATTCAAAAACCTTCAGTGTCTCCCCACAGTCTAATACATAAAGGCCTGAACCCGATGTCCAAGGCCTTGTACAATCTGGATCCAATTGATCTTTCCAGCCTGATTTCATATTACTGCCTTTCATGTGTTCCATGGACCTCTTTCTGCCCTCTCTTCTCATCCTGCCCTCCCCTAGCTCCATGCCTTTGTTCAGGCCAGAAAGCATGTTTGGAATGGAACCCCACCATCACCACCACTACTACCCTACCCAGTCTCCATTTGGTGAAGTCCCTCCATGATGCCTCCCTGATTGTTTCCTTCACTCTGGATGAAAGCGATCTCTCCCTTCTCAAACATCTCACAGCACTCTGCCTGCTTTCCCTTGGATTCCATCTCATTCTATTTGTATTTTATGAGAATTACAGAATCTCAGAATTGGAAGGGACCCCAAAGGCCATCTAATTCAACCTCTGCATCCCTAACAAGTGGTCATGCCGTATTTGCTTGACACAAATGCTCTACTGAGGCGAGACTCACCATTTTCTGAGGCAGTCCATTTCACTATGGGACAATTCTAATTCTTAGAAAGTTTTTCCTGACATCTAGCTCAAACCTGTTACTCTCGAGCTTAAAATCATATGATCAAAGATCTTGAACCAAAAAGGACCTGAGAGATCACCTAGTCCAATCTCCTTATGAGGGATGTGCAGTTGGAGACACAGAAATGTTAGTTAGGCAACTCACCCAAAGCTAGTAATGAGCAGAACTGAGATTTGTACCCAGCTTACTGGTCCTCAAATTCAGGGCTCATTCCCATATGCCAACCAACCTGCCTCTCCCATTGTTCCTAATTGCCTTCTGGGACCAAATTGAAAAAACCTAATCCACAAGAAAGTGAGTCATAAACTTGAAAACAGCCACTACATTCTCCTCTACCCCCACCCTCCACTCCAAGTCTTTTCTCTGGGCAAAACTTTCCCAGGTTCTTCAACTGATCCTTACATGACAGGATTTTGAAACTCTTCATCATAATAGCTATCCTTTTCTGGGTATTTTAGCTGATTCATGTCCTTCCAGATGTGACTTATTGGGCAGTCACCTCCTTCATTTTGGAACTATGCCTCTCTTCAGTGCTGCCCAAGACAAGTTCATTGTTTTGACTGCCATGTCCCACTGTTGATTCATGTTGTATGGGTTGGACCAGATAACCACTGAGATCTTTCACCTCCCAAAGCCTGTGATTCTGTGATTCTCTGACTTTGCAATCCATTAAAACCCTCATATCTTTTCCAAACAAACTGCTATCTAACCAGCCCTCCCCCATCTTATATTTGTGAAGTTGACTTTTATAACCCAACTGCAAATTAATCATAATTAAAATTTAATCTTATTAGATTTAGTCCATCGTCTTAGCCTATCAACATCTTGTTGGATCTGGATTCTATGACCCTGTGTATTAGCCTTCCCTCCCAGCTTTGGATCATCTGACATTCTTTAAGCATGCCATGTATGCCTTAATGCAAATTACTGATGAAAAAAAAAATGTTCAGCAGCACACAGTCAAAGATGACACTCGCCTGAAGACCCTTCACGGTCTTTAAAATATAAAACCATTAATGATCACTCTTTGGTTCTGGCCATTCAACCAATTCTGAATTCTCTTAACTGTACTACTGTCCACTCCATCTTTTAATCTTTCAATCTTGTCCTTTAGGAGACTGAGGTCCTAAATCTAGGATCCTACAATGCCTTCTTCCCCTTGACCTCCATGATCTTGCTCCAAATTTGTCAAGTTATATTGCTGAAAGACAGATAAACTGTATCTACATGCACATTTCCCTCATCTACCAGTCTAGCAACTCCATCAAAAACAAATGAGGTTAAGGTAACATTGATCTATTCTAGAGAAAGCCGTATTGTTTCTTTCTCTTTTTTTCTGGATGTTTACAAACTATCCCTTTAATAATACATTCTAGAATTTTTCCAGGAACCAATGTCAGGCTCATTGGCTAAACTCTGCTGACTCTGCTCTTCCTTCTTTTGAAAGTCAGGGTAACATTTGTTCTTCTCCAGTCCCACTCCAACTCTCTCATCTCCATGAACTTTCAATGATTCAGCAGTCATCTTTGCTAGTGCTTTTGTGTTTCATGGGATGTGGTCCATCTGAGCCTGATGACATGAATTCATCCAAGGCAACTAGATGTTCTCTATTATCTCCTGACTTATCCTAGGTTTTAACTCCCTAATAGCTACTTTTTGCTCTGTGCTTTCCAATACAAAGATCATTCTTCTTGGTAGAGAAAACAGAAGCAAAAAAGAGTCATGTAATTCTATCTTTTCTCCATCATCCATAAGAATTTTCCCATCTAACCCAAACAGAAGGCTTTTCCTCTTTTTTAGTATTCTTTTCCCCAATGTAAGGGTTTTTTTTTAAAACCACCAATACTATTTATTGTTCTAAGTATTCCTTTTGTTATTCAACTGAACTTTAAGACTCTGGATATTATTATTCCACAGGCTCATAGAATGCTTTT